CGGCAGACCCTTGCCCTCCGCCGGGGGCGGCGATGGAGGGCATCCCTGCGCCGGGCCGGTACCCGCGCTGCCCGGGCGCCGCGCCGGCACGGGGGCCGAGCGGGGCACGACCCGCCGGGCAGCGGCCCTGCTCTTCTCCTTCCCTGCACCCCCGTGTCTCCGCGGGGCAAGTCATTACACGTTCCCTCGAACAGTCAGCTAGAAACTCCTTTTAGCGTCTACCGTTCCTTTCAAACGTGCTTGGTAAAGGCTCTAACTAGCTTTTACTACGCATCAGGGGAAGAAGTGTAGTCGTTTTATGTGTTTTACCCATTAAACCAAGGGCCGCCTTTTCCTTTAATCCTTTACCAATAAGTCCTGCCCACGCCTGCCTTCCCCTCTGCTTTAGAATAACAGAGTAGTCCTTGGCTACTTGGTTTACTTCCCTACATATGAGGCATGCACTGTTCGATGTTGTGGTATTTCGTTTCAAAGACTTGGGTACGCATGTTTGGGAGCAAAGATGCGGTCCCCTGCTATGAACCTGGGTGTCTCTTCTGCACAGACCAGCTAGAACTATAGACCATATAAAAAATAGGATGAGAAAAATCACTCTCAAATACATTCCTCAAAGTGCTTTAGACTAGAGGGACAAGGAAATCACTGTGACTCCCCCACCCCGATCCCTAGGGTTGATGTGTGTGCTTACTTACTTAAGTTGTCATCGCTCAGTTGTTTTATAAAGCAAGTTTTTTCCAAGTGGTGAAAAAGAGCCTTTGAAGTAAGCCAACTATTTTCACTGCACAAAAAAAAAAAATCCCAGTGCCAGAGCCAGTTCTTCACATTGTTTACCTAGCTTTAACACTTTTATTACATTTATTACTTCTGTGGCTAGAGCAAAGAGAAAGAATGCCTTGACAGGAATCGGTAGGTTTCAGTGAGGCACTTCATATTCTAGACTACTTATGAAAAGTGACTTCAGTGTTTTTACGATCACTGTTGTTGGCTTTGTTTATTTGATGCTGCCTGATCAACAAGTTTTAGTGCATTCTTCTGTGACTGTCTCCTCCTGTGTGCTGTATACAGAGGCTAGGCACATAGCTCCAGGCTGAAGACTTCATACAGATGCCAGGCTCCTAAAGGTTAGATGCAGTGATGGCGAATGTCAGTGTGCACATTACGTTGTGCCAAAAATTTTACACCAGTCACAAACCCAAGTAGATCAGATCTTGGAGACAGTAAAGTTGTTAGCTAGTTGTTATTTTCGGCAAGTAAAACACCTTTATTTCTAAAAGCGTAGGTGAAACAGGTAAGAACATTCATACACAGAAAGCATTTTAGGAAAATGAACAAAAAATTTACTAAGATAGAGACCAAAATGAAACAGGAAGGAAAGTGACAACCTGCATTTCACAAAATCAGTGGCATAGAAGAGGACATTTTAGAACTGTTTACCACCAGAGAAGAGAAAGAATGAAATTCTTTGGCACATCTTCTTCTGTTGTATTATAATTGCCTTTATTCTTATTCTCACTTTTCTTTAAAGGTAGGAGATGCGATTTTAATTTTGAAGAGGATATCATCATCAGTTTTAAAATAAAAATATTTTAGTGCTTATTTCTTAGAATTATTCCTTCCAATGGCAAGCACCCCAACAGCAGTAAAATTACTGAAACACTAGACTTCACAGTTCAAGTCCTAGTCAATACAGGTGACTCCACCTAACTTTTGCTTTATTTTGTAATTTTTTCCCCTGGCGCATTGCTAGAACTGAAGATACGGAGACATTTGTGGTCTGCTAAGCAATACAATCCGTTCAGATGTATCTCTTTTCTGCCAGCATAAACAGAAACTTTACGATAGAAGAAAAGGGATGGGTGCACTTATAGGTAAATGGAATGGGTATAGCAAACTTATAACCATCACTGTTCTTTTGTTTTATATGTCAAGCATATACATTGTTGTATCCATTAAACAGGCCAAGAGTGTGACATACTCTCAGTCACTATGTCAGAAAGCTAAAGAATATAAAGGTTACCTGTCTGGCTGTTAACTGTATGGGGTTGAGGATATGAACAAAGCTAAAACCAATTATTCTTCTGGAGTTCTTGGAGGGGGTTGTGTATTGACGTTAGAGGCAGAGTGCAGCCCTGGGCTAGTTCTAAATTAACCCTGAAGTGTGTGGAACAGGGGCTAGAACCTCTCAGGTGCAGAAGCTGGCTGGTCTTTAATGATGAGTTCATGGGGTTTTTTGGTAAAATGACTGTTGTTATTCTCAAGGGAAATATATTGTTTCTTCTTCACTTTTCTCTGTGTCACTCTTGAAAGAGAATAGCTGTGAAATCAAGCTCATAATTCAACCTGAGTTAAAATAAAGTTAAAATGCCATAAGCAAATCGCTGCTACTGCAAAATAAACTACATCCCAACTTCTCTAGGAACCTACACAATTCCAGCTCAAGATGCAAAGATACAGGCCTTTCCAAGGGGCAGTCAAAGGTGGACTAAGTTTTGGGTATTTTGGAAGTTCTGTCTTTTACAGAGGGAACCTGGAAAGATCAGTCTGTGTAGACTTAATATAACTTTTACGGCTTAATGGTCAGTAACAGGGTGCTTAATCCAGTCTGAGTCACTTCCGTATTTGAAAATTAGAAGCAGAGAATCAAATGACCGTGTGATAGTAAGATAATTTTTGCAGGCCCAAGAGAAGAGAACTAATTTTATGAAGTATGTTCATGGAGCTACTTATTAGCATTCTCATAGAAAGAGAAAATGGTAATGAGTTATTATTTATTCCCGTGTAACATCATGTAAGCCAGCGAAAAGTTTTGTAAAATAACAGAACTTGAAGGATGCTCTATGTTATTCTAAATATGATAAAAGGCAACAGAGGAGGAGACCAATTATTTAAAAAAGCAATTTTTCAACAGGTAGTGAAACATGCCAGTCCTATTACAGTATTGTGCACTAGAAGAGAACGAGCCCAAGAGCTCCCTTGCCTTACAGAGTAAGAAGCGTTCTTAACTCCGAATCCTCTCCATGTGCTTTTGGCAGAGTGAAGATGAGTGGTGAAGAGATTCTTGTGTGTGCAGTACAACTTGGAGAAAATTTCTGCCTCTATTTTGCAGGTAATTACTACTCGCTGCCTAAAGAGGCACACTGTGTCTTCTTTCTGCATAGAAGGTCAAAAAGCAGATATACAATTCATTCCTTTCCTTGGGCTGGCATCACTGGTTTTGTGGAAAGCTGGTTTTTTTCCCCCATGTTACCTGAGCAATCCTCAAAGCAGTTACAATCCCCACCCACTTAGATTATGGAGCCAGGCTGTTCACTGCAAAAAGAATCTGAGTTTGAGATAGCTGTCCCAGTATGTTAACAGGTCACTACCATATTATTGCTGAACACCTCAAGCATTTAATAACTTTTTCTGTTGGAATACTGATTTAAAATAATTCCTTTGTCAGTCTGATTTCACCTAATTTTCCCGTAAGCTTCAGTTTGAAGTATTGTTAGTATCTGAGTCAGTGGAATATTTGTTGCTTCATAAAATACATTCCTGTAAAGGACACTCGGAGGGTTGAAATACTGTGGGGTGGACTTGGAATTAAGTGGTAACTTCCAATCTTACATGATAAAGTTAGTTAGAAAACAGTCTCTTCTTTAGAAGCAATTTGTAATGAGAGTTTCTTGTCCTTTTGCTCATTTCGAATAAAGGTGCTGATGAAAACACAAGGTTGCATGTCACTTACTCCTTGGTTATAGGCTTAAACAGATGTGAGCTGCTCACCCTGATGTAACCCTAAAGTATTTTGCATGCCTCGTGGTTTGGTGGTAACTCCAGTTCTCAAATGACTGGTGGTTTCATCATTCTGTTGAGTTTGTTATGCTCACATAACACACTCTAGTTACAACAGCTCAGCTCGGTGAGTTAATGATACTGGGGAGTACACCTGGAAATGTGTAGGTGGCTGGCTGGCTTCCAATCTTGCAGAACAGAACTGGGTAGAAAGTTGTTTCTTTTGTGGGGGCAGAGCTTAACATTGTTTTTTCTTTCCTTTTTTTCATTGCTCACTTGGGACCAAGACGATGATGGTAAGCTGAAAGCTCATTGTTTATTAACTTCATTATCAATTTTACCTGAACCAACCTGCTCATGCTTACTAACCCGCAAATGCTTTGTGTGCCTTAGAGAACAAGTTTTCAAACTGATAATGGCTACTCTAAAACAGAGAGCTAAAGCTTACCTTCTCCTTCTGAAGTTGATGTTGCTTTATTTCCTCCTAAGGTACAGGGTAGTGGCTTACCTAACAGAACGACTTTTTAATGTGATTCTAAATGTTGGGCGAAAGAGAGAACTGTTGCTTCTGCACTCCCATTAACAGATACAGTAGCTTCTCTTGCTTATATATACAGACTGCTATATTATGGGAAATCCTTCTGTCTTGCCTGGGTTGCTACAAGCCAGAGGTGGAAAGAATGACATGGCCTCCATTTTGTTTCAGATTGCCATTCTAAGAACTAATCTCACCTGGTATCCTTAGTAACAAGATTAAGCCTGTAGCGAAATGTTAAGGTATGAGGAGATTATAGCTAAAATATTTGACCCTCTTTGCTTAATATTTCTACAGGGCTGGAATGCGATGCCTTTTGTAAGGAAAAAATTCTCCAGCGAGTCCTTCGAAATGTCAATAGCCAGTTGCTTGTGGTTCGACCAGATTTAAACATGGCAGCTTTTGAAGATGTGACAGATCAGGAGATGAAATCTGGTACACCGTTTTTCAAATACATACTATAACCATTACACTGTTTCTTTGTTCTAGGTGTGCTTTTGTTCTTTGTAATAACTGACTCTAACTGATGAGACTGAGAGAAGACTTAAACTTCATTTGTAAGAATAAAGCTAAGCTAAGAGAGCTGAAATTTTATGTCTTGTGCCTTGGTAATGGATTAGATTCCTGGATTAGACTGAGGCCTGCAGGATGTCCCATGCAGAAAAGGGCTGCTAAGATTTTTGGTTAGCTCTGATCACAAATTAAGTTCTTAATCCCATTTTTCTTTTTTCTTTTTTTTTTTTGTGTTGGATTACAAAAAATCATTTTTAGGTTTAAACAGACAATGTACTTAGCACTAAAAGCTCTTATTTTCTTCTAACAGCAGTAGTTAACAATGTACTTATGGTTTTGGCTTTGATTTTTTTTTGGGGGGGGGCTCAACAATTCATTCAGAACTACATTTGTTGAACATATTTATTTACAGATCACATATATACAGGTATAATCTGATTTACAGATGACTATTTACAAATCCAATTCTCACTTTAGGCATGCACGTGAAAGGATTTGAACATCCTACCCATATTAACTGGTAACTTCACATGCTTTCTTGCAAATTCAAAATCTTGGTTATTGAATGATTGCAGAAAGCCAAATACGTGCTGCCAGCAGTCATAAAAATTTGAGTCCTGGCTCTCCGGTCAGGGAAAATACCCTGGGAAGACAGGTGAAATGCCAGTGGAATGGTAAGACATTAAGTTGTTGCAGCTCTCTTCTGAGGAGACTATTAATAATAAACAATTTATATTTAGGCAAAGGAATGCACTTCAACATTCACTATTACAAAACTACCACACCTTCAGCAGGGATGCCTGTTGCATTCAGCGTCCAGGTAGAAGATAAAAGTTATTATATGTGTTGTGAGGAAGAATGTGGAAAAACCATAGTTCGATTTAGGGTAAGTATCTGCTTTCCATACCTTATGTATATGTAAGTAGTAGGCAAAATTAAGAATCCAGACATGTGTGAACTGAAACAAAACTGCTGAGGTCTTGTGCTGGGACTAACCCATTCCCGTTTTCTTCCTCAGGAAGGAGAAGTTCCCAAAGAAATTCCTGGAGAAAGTAACGTAATCTTTTTCAAAAAGACATTTACATCTTATAGCTCCAGAGCATTTAAGTTTGAATACTCACTAGAACAAGGAATGTTCTTGGCCTTTGAGGAAGAAGGCTGCTTAAGAAAATTAATTCTAAAGAAACTGTCAAGAGAAGATGAAGTGGATGAAACCATGAAGATAAGTTTCTAACTTCAGTCAGAATGAAAGTTAGAACCTATGATATACTTCAACAGTCTTAAAATGTATTTCAGCTTTTTATAAAATAAATCTTACTCTTTCTTCATCCAAGGCAAGCCAGTTTTATGTTTTTAGCTGCCATAAGTCAGTACAAAAATGAGCATCTAACAAAGGAATATAAATTCAAATTATTGGCAAAAAAAAGCAGAAGAATGTTTTCCAGTCAGATAGAAGGAAAGAGAATTACACAATGAAGAAACAAGAATGTGCATGCCTATATAGTCCTGTATAGTTTCATCCCTAAAATCTTTACTGCTTGCTAATCAAACAGCTTTTGAATTAGGTGTCTCATAGATGAAGTAGATGTATTTTGGGGAGGGAGACAAAACAGCTTAAAATAACAGATTTCATAAGCAGACCATGCACCTGGCCAATAAACCCTTTGACATTACTTTTTTGCATCAAGATTATTTCCTGAGCATCTTCATCACTCTCAGTTACACAGTGACATTCTCACCTTCAACTGAAGTAGAAAGAACAGACAATTTTTAACTTACTGGAAATCTTTGCTTAGAAAACTTTTAACTCACCTGAACAATTAAAGTTCTAACAAAGCTGGTTGTCCTCAGGGGGCCCGAGGAAAAAAAAGAATTATGCTTTTATGTAAAGGTTTTTAAAAGTTATCAGCAAATTGTATGTAGGTTAGCGACGAAATGAAGCAGACATTTGTCCTTCTAACAATTTGGAACAAATGTAGATATGGCTGGCTCCCATAAGGACTCTCTCTTATTCTGCCCATATGAAAATGCAGCATACATTGGGGTCAAGCTGTGAACTCCATTTCACATTCAGAGCTGAGCAAGCACTAGATTTCACCGAACCCGAAATTAATGTAATGCATTCTGAATATTTAATATTGAGCAAATTGATATGGCATATATTATTCTTTTCTTCTACATATAATACAAGTGTTGGTCTTCCTCCTCTGTTCCAACTCCAGGTAGTGATAACCTGAATGTTGGTTGCAGCTGGGGTCCTGGGTCTTCAACTTGCCATGCAGAACAGCTGGTACAATTGCCATACCTCATACAGGCAGAAGTAATCAGAGAAAACAGGAAGGCCTCTATCTGTCAGGCAATGGAGGAAAATCCTCAAACTTGCTGAAGAGATAAGACAAGTCTCAAGACTTGTTTTGGTAAAAAAAAAACCAAAACCGTAATTTCAAGGGCTTTAAAAAAGCAGAGAGACATGAAACTGCTGTGATAACCCTTACTGTCTCAGCTTTTCATGTTATGCTGCCCCTGGCATTTCACCTATCTAGCTGCTACAGGAGCACCTAGAGGCAGTAAGAAACCAATTATTTAGAATCGGGTACAGTCACCGCTGAGTGCACTATCGCTTAGGAAGAATTCACTGGAGGGGCTTAAACTCAAGACTGTATTTAACACATCCAGATACCCAGCAGGACTGAGTCCCAGTTTTATATGCCTGATGAACGTTCAAAAATGGGATTAGACCAAATGGTTACAGCCATCACAATAATTAAGAACAAAAGTTAGTGGTAATTACAGGGAACCAATTCGATTTCAACAGGACTGAGGAACACATGCAATTCATAGAGAAAGCTGTGGTCGTTACATTTTAATTCTTGCCTCAAAAACACAAGGAACTGGTCTCGGAGTTGCTAACCCCTAACATCGTAGATCTGGACTTCTGCCTTCCCAGAATTCTTATATAACTCATTTCTCACACAAGATGTCTTAAATACCACAAAGAGAAGCATCTTGTGTTTGGTCTCAAAAGAGGAAATGTCAAACGCTTTCTACGGTACGTGCTCAGATTGCACAGCGGTACTTGCCAATGACTCATATGTATACATCTTCCTCACCATGACAAAATAACGAATGTTACATTGATGCCTATATCAGACCACATCACACAGAAGCAACCATCTCCGTTCTGACCACAAGATTAGCAAAACAAAAGCAGCCAGCTACATGATATTTCCCATGGTTACATGAATAAGTAAATAAATAAATAAAAATTCCAATCCAGATTAAAAAAAAAAAAGAAATCTAATCAGAAAGTCTTGTAGAATTCAAACAGCAACTTATTAATTCTGTTTATGGCATAACCAGACTGATGGTAACACACAACTCTCTTCCTCTTACTATTAATAGTACCACGGAAGTACCATTAGAATGTGGAAACAGTTAATCACTTCTTACTACTACGAAAGTCAGAGAAGACAAAGGAGAGAAGAAAGTTAAAAACCAGAATCTCATTTCCCCCCCTAAAATGTTCTAGAACCTAAAGACATAGAAAAGAACGCTGCCTCAAGCTATGACAGGAAGAGTATGTTTGTTGTCTTTTCAGTCACACAGGAAAATGTGTACCAGTGTTTATTTAGAAAACAAATAAAAAAAAAATGTTGGCAGATGAACATACAGGTTCCGGGGTAACTATGAAAGCCATATGCTATTTATGGCTCCTAAAATTAATCCACAAAAGTCTTTTCCTTGTAAGTCAATTATTGCTGTATTTTCCAATGGATATTACTCTTGTATTAAGTCAAGCCTAAGTGACCGCTTTAAGTATTAAAGACAATACATATTCATAAAAATATTTTTTGTTTTCTAACATCTAAATGAAGTAATGCAGAGTAACAGTATGAACAGTAACATAACAGTATAAATTAGTATTTGAAATTGATTTTAGGAAAAAAAACCCTATCTGCAGAGAAAACATTTTAAGTAACCCAAAAGTAGTAAAAATTCAGAAGCACACACACACAGTTTCTGTAAATTCTTTATTGTATGGATTAAGCAAAAAGTATTCCCTTTTCTACATCAACTCTCAGGGTCCAAAGAGTTACGAGGAGTGCCTTACATACACTTCAGTTGCGATGTCAGAAATAACAGTTCAATTTTCTGCAAGTCAAGTTTGTTTTACAGAACAGGAAACCAAACAACAGTTATTTTAGAAAAGCCCTCATGAAAGCTGCCATTACAAGAAAAGTTACCTTCAGCTAGATAATTCTGTCATCAATGTAATTAATTCCTCACAATTTACAGTACAGCTTAAATCAGCTCACTCTCACCTGGACATTATCCACTTTAAATCTACTTTTTCTTTTCTAACATTTTTACTGCTGCTGGGTATTTATTTCTAAAAGACTAGCTCTGAACTCGCTGCGTTATGTACATACCATGGACCCTTGGTCACTCGTTTCACATTAAGCATGTTGGTAAAAATATGATGAAGCAGAGGCAACAGTGAACAATCACGTTTGTCAGGGACTCGGTCACATCTTAGAGGCTCCACAGCATGGCAACAGCCTTGCAGATACCAACATCATAATAGTTGAAGTAGCAGAGACCAGCAAAGGTAACGGCCGACAGTACGTACAGACCTGTATTGGCCAGTTTAATGGGTGTATCTCCATGGACATAGTCAGTTATAACCTGTCCAAGACCCCTACAGAATAAAAGGGATAAAAAAGATTAAATAAGGAAAAATACTGAAATCCACCCAGCTTATGTGAGCATTCTACTCAGATGGCTCAAACACATCATTTTTTTCACCCGCTATTGTCAACCTTTCCTAAAGAATGCCCAGTTCCCACTCAAAAAGAAGATGCATCTATTTAAAACAAAACAACATTCCACATATTCTATTAAAAAAAATATACACATTGGCTCAGTTTTCTTAATGGTACTGAGGAAACAAGGTGTTGAGCACAGCTCTTTCAAACAATAGAATCAGTAGAATCTGCCTCCAAGAAAAAGTGGGCAGCTTATCTGACTTCCAAGGACTGAAGAAAAGCAACATAGGAAATATCCTTCTTGCTTGAACTGCAAGGTGTGGATTTGGGACCAGCCATTGTCACAAACGCACAGAAGACTGCAGGATGTGTATTTAGATTAGAAAATAGTGGCAACCAAAAAATTAGCATGCTGTGGGTTTTTTCCACATCTGTCAGACTAGAAGCGAACCCTTGTCCATATTTAAACTATCCAGCAACGGGAAGACAGAGGATGCTATCAAACTAACGTGGTAGTTCTCTTCCCGGAAGTACAATTACGTTTGCAATTATATTCTGCAATGACAGATGTCAACCTGGTAAAAAAAGAGAACCGTACTTAATGCAACAATTTTCTTCCTAGGATTTTGCCTTGGTCTAGCCTGAAGCTGAAGGACCTGCGTCCCACAAATTAAGACACACTGGTGACCTAGCAAGGTTCAAAGTCCTGCAGCAGATGCCACTGCAAGTGAGCACTCAGCTCAGTTTCACTTAGATGGGGCTCTAATACCATAAAGATGTCAAAAGCGAGAAAAGGGGTGCAAGGAACCCCTGGATACATAGAAGAGAAGCAGAAAATGGAAACAGGCTGAAAAGCAGCTACTCTCAAACTATTACAGCTATGTTTTACAACTGGACAGTGGAATAAGGTCAGGAGTGCAAGCAGCACTTACCCCCACTTTGAGCCTTCCAAAGGGCAGATAAATAAGGCATACTCAACTTGGGATTCACAGGCTGCCCTTCAACTGTAGCGTTGATAAGGGATTTTCGTAAGATCTTTTCTTTGCATGGCACAATAAGACTGAGTCATGCTAACGCTTCTCAGAAAAATGAGCGCGTGACTTTACAGCACGCTGATTAATTCACACAAAGTCCTCATGGGAAAAGACCAGTGGCGCTGAGAACAACAACGGGGATTAGTGAGAAATAGCTGATGCGTGTAGACACGTAATCTAGCTCACAACACAGTAGCTTCTCTGGGCAGAGATATCTATTACGTACCAGCAAAAACAGTACAAGATAAAGATGCCTTCAGGTATCTTTAGGAAGTCTATTGATAGGTTAGTGTTTGGACTGGTAACCACCTAAATATCTGAAGCACTATTTCCAACATATTTTAGGACAAGATTTCCTAAGGAAAAACATAGCAAAAGGTGAAAGAAAACCCCTCAAAAATATATGCAATACTCCTCTGCAGTTTCTGATCAGCTACTAGAGGGATT